AGTCCGTCTTGAATCACGGTGGGGGAGTCCCAGTCCCTGCACAAGAAAACGGAGGTGAAGAATTTGTTAAAGAGGTCTGCCTTCTCCTCTGGCGCAACCACCAGATTGCCCAGCGCATCTTGCAGGGGCCCCACATTTCCCAGTGCCTTCTTCATCCTCCCTATATATTTGAAAAAGGACTTTTTATTATCTTTGATCTTGGACGCTAGCCCTAGCTCTTATGTCCACCTTAGCTTTCCTAACAGCCCCCCTACAGGCCTGAGCAGTGGAGGTATACTCTTCTTTGGAGATAGCCCCCACCTTCCACCAGGTGTACGCCACCTTTTTGGCAACCAGGCATTCCCAGACGTCCTTGGTGAGCCAGGGAGGCTTTTGGGCACTCTTGCCCCCCTTGCTTCTTTTTGGGATCATCACCCCTTGGGCCCTGAGTATCGTCTCGTTAAGGAACAACCACTCATCTTGGGCACTGAGTTCCCCTGCCTTTGAGGACCCCAGCACCTCTCTTACCAATCTCAACTCGTTGAAGTTGGCCCTCTTGAAGTCTAGGGCTACCGCCTTGCTGCAGGTCCTTGTCACCCTGTGCTGGATGATGAATCATCGCCAGGATTACCCCAGGAGGTTCACATGGTCATGGGATGATCCCAGTGACCATGCCGGTGCCCATACCCTGCTGCGGAACATACCAAGGGCCCTGGGCAGAGGATGCATGGGAGCTGTGGAGCCTGGCACTTGCTCATGCTCATCTTTGACTTGGACAGTGTATGGTCCCTGGGTTACAAGGCTTGTACTGTATCAGTGCAGAGACATATTACCCTTCATCTGGGTTTCAGCTTGTACAATCTAGGCTCTTGAGTGAAAAGTACCAGCCTTGCTAGGTTTCTCTTGCTCTGGGAAGGGGATGCTGCGTCTGTCTGAAGCCAGCAGAAGGGGTTAGATGCCCTGTGTGGTGGTGAGGAGAGAGATCTTAAACCATGGCCTATGTACCATGGGAACTATCTGAATTGTGTGTGTTCTACCAAGTCACTTCATACCCATTTCTTAAGAAGGCAGTACACAACCAGCAGTTTGGGAGCAGCAGCAATAGGGGAATGGGCTCTTGTCTGCTGTGTTCTGTGACTCTGCTTAGTCATAGATTTCATAGATGTTTAGGGTTGGAAGGGACCTCAGTAGATCATCAAGTCTGACCCCCTGCCCCAGGCAGGAAAGAGCGCTGGGGTCGGATAACCTTACCTAGGTGCTTGTCTAGTCTACTCCTAAAGATCTCCAAGGTAAGGGAGAGCACCACCTCCCTTTGAAGCCCATTCCTGATTTTGGCAACCCTTATCATAAAGAATTTTTTTCTAATGTCTAATCTAAATCTGCTCTCCATCAGCTTATGGTTGTTGTTCCTAGTAACTCCAAGGGGTGCCCTGGTAAACAGAGTACACCCTATTCCTTGCTCCCCCACAAGATGAATTTGTAGATGGCCACAAGATCCCCTCTCAGCCTTCTTTTGTGGAGGCTGAAGAGATTCAGGTCCCTCAATCTCTCCTTGTAGGATCTTACCTGCAGGCCCTTAACTGTATGAGTAGCCCTCCTCTCCTCTCAAGGTCATCCACATCCCTCTTGAAGTGTAGTCATTGGGTCCCTGATGGATAGTGGTTGTGATGACTGGAACCAGGATGAGGACTGAAGTCTCTCTCTCCCATTGTGAACATAGTGATAATAATGTGTATTTACCTGATGCTTTTGAGATTGATTTAATATTGTTAAGTGACTATTGCCGTCCCTAGGGGTGTTATTGTCCCTGTGGTGCAGAGGGCCCAGACAAGAGATGGAACCTGGGGCTGGAAGAGGCCTTCTAGGTCAACAGGGTCATACACTATAATCTGTCTCATAAATCAATCAAGCTTTGTCTTTAAAACCAGGGATTTTTTTTGCCCTCACTACTCAAATTGGATGGCTGTTCCAGAACCTCTCTTCTCTGGTGGTTAGAAACCTAATTTCCAGCTTAAATTTCTTCATGGCCAGTTCATGCCAATTTTTGTGCGTGCCAGCACTGTTTTTTAGCATTAATAGCTCTTTCCCCTCCCTGTATGTATTTATAGACAGCAAACATACCCCTCACAGCTTTCTTATTGCTAATTGAAACAAGCTGAACTCTTAGCCTGCTTCCTCTTGTGTGACAGGCTAGCAGTTCCCCTTATGCTCCTAATAGTTCTTCGCTACACATGTTCCAGTTTGAATTCAGCTTAATTGAGCCTGGCTGACCAGAAATATACACAGTATTCCAGATGAAGTCAGACCTTCTACTGCTTCCTACTCTCCAACTGATGTGACCCCAGCGTATAGCTGAAGTTCTTGTTATTAGTCCATAAATGCAGGATCTGGCATTTTGTACTACTGGAATTTTTAGTCCTGAAGGTCACTTGGTTCTTCCTATGTGATATTCCAGTCTTCCTCTGTATCAAGAATGCTTCTAAACTTTGTACCCTCAACTCATCATCAGCCTGCTCCCCCTGTTCTGTGTCAGAGTCATTAATGAAAATACTAAGCTCATGGAGGCACTTCAGTGTTAACCTCCTTCCAGTCTGATAGTTCCCCTTTGGACATAGATGTCACCATCTCCCTTCTCACTCGGTTTACAGTTCTGCTCAACACCAGCTTCACCAGTGATTTCTGGTGTGGCATCATATCAAATCTAGACCTAAACAACAAAGAGAGAGAGACATATTTTTTATCTAGAAAATTCCTTGCCTTTTCACAGGAAAGGAACTGGGCTGAGATCACACAGTGAATTGGTGGGAGAGGTGGGACTAGGATTCTGCAGCTGTCAGCTGGCCTGATGACTTCCCCAGCATGAGCTGCAGCATTGATAGGCAGGAGACTTGCCTTCTGCTCCTCTGACAGATCACCTGGGCTAGGAGCTCAGCCCTAGGGCAGGTTTCAAAGGCCTTGCTGCACACTGGCAGTCTTGGATTCCTGAAAGTGCATCCTTTGCAGAGAGTAACCCAGTCTGGCCCTTAAGGGGACTGGAGTGAGAGGATGAGACTGGCTGGCAGTCAAGGCCTGATGAGCATGCTCCCGAGAGTTTTCAAAATGAGTGACCAGGATAGCCCCAAGCAGTAACACATCTGTTTGGCATAAGGATTCCTGAGAAGAGCAGTCACTTAAGAGCCAACTGTGCAGCAACACGTGCCCAGTAGTGTGCAGCACATGTAGGATTGCGGTCACCACAGAAAGAAAATCCTCTCAGGCAGTTCACAGCATGAATGTCACCTACGTCATTGGACCATTGGATTCTGTGCAGCTGCACATATGATGCTGGGTTAGAGGGACTTGAAGGCCTAATACCATAGTGCAGGTGTGGTGCCAGACTAGCAAGGACTACTAGCTTGATCCAAGAGAGCAAGGACAACGGCCAGTAATGTGGAGGGTCATTCATTTCCATGAGCCAAGATCCATTTGCATGTGGATAACCCCAGAGACTTGCAGCATGGGCACACTAACAACTTACTGCAAGTCAGAGGAGAGCAGGACTTTACTGTGCATCAGCTGTGCTGCAGCAACTGCCTGTGTGAACACTCTTACCCATGGTAATTGAAAAGAAAACCACAGTAGGACAAGCAGCCTTCAGGGGAAGAGGGGGTAAGCTGCTGCAGACTGGCTTTCCTTATCATGGGATAAGAGTGTGCACATGGATAGTTACTGTGGAGCAGCTGGCATGCAGCAGAATCCTGCCCTTCTCTCCCTTATGGTAACTTGTGTGTGTGCCCCTGCCCTGAGTTAAGGAAAAACTCATTCTGAAGGCAAATGCAGAGAGAACCAAGTGTGGCGGGCCAGTAGGGGGCGCTCCTGCATTGAGCCGCCCACCTCCCTGTGCCCGACCACCTTCCCAGGCTCCAAGTGCCCCCCTTAGGGTGCCTCCCGTCTGGCCGAGCCCTTCCCCGGAGCACACCCGCTAGCCTGGGGTTCCCGCTGCCACCATCCAAGGCTCTGGACTCACTTCTGGCTCTGCGCCCCTTGGAAAACACAGGCCTGATCGTCCAATGGGTACTAGACCCAATACAAGCACTTGGGGCACTTCCCCAAGTCAGGGGCTTATTAGGAAGCCTCCCTTAGTCCACCGACCTAAGGGGCCTCCTTGGCATAATTTAGACCCACCCCTCAATAAGTCTCC